GATGATGATGGATTTTTCTCACAAAGGAGGTGGGGACAAGGACACCCCTCGATCCCCTAGATATTGACTCCCCTATATTATCCGTTTCCAGGCTTTCAGATCGTGGGGACGGCGCAAAGAGATATGAGTAGAAAAAAAAACAGCGAGGCCTATATTATTATTATTATTTCATTTACCTTGATTTTTTAATTCTTTTGCTATAAGGCTGTGTGAGAGCCCTTGTGTCTTTGCGTTTTTTGTTTTCATTTCTTTTGCATAAGGTCACTGAAAGCTTGGCAACTTAAGTGGCAGTCTCCCCATAACCAGTCTGATGATTTTCGGGTCGGAAAAAAGTTTGCCTTTATATTCTGTGGCAAGAGAGGATAAAGGGGACAGAGAAGGCATCCCCCATACACAGCCTATTCCATAGGTTATTCGTCTCGAGTTATTTTTAAGACCACAGATCCCAAGGGGAATTAGATAACAGCCAATCACATAGCGCGAATGTGTTCCTCGTGGATGACCCACGCTCAGAGCCACGCGTCCTTCACGAATTGAGGCAGAAAAAAATGGCGGAAGACGCGGAGAGCAATATTGCTATTCGTTTTGTCGACGAAAACGACTAAAGAGAGATTTCTGCTAAAGCTGTGTCAGCGAAACGTGCCGTTTGCATTTGCATGATGGCGTCATTTTAATACTATGTCCAGAATCTTTTTCGTGATTCCTTTTATGCATATTTACTTTTGGTCATTCCAGTGAGGTTTAAAGGTACAGTAAAACGGTAAAAAAAAAACCGTCCAACTTGTTTTGCAACATTGCTGGAAAACGAGTTGGTGAATAGCAACGAAGTTGCGCGTTTTACCACCCACGAATTAAAACCTTTCAACTTTATTTCTTGCACTGCATGGAAAAACGCACAGCATCGCTATTCAACTCGTTTGGCAGCAATGTTGCAAAACAAGTTGGACGTTTTTTGTTACCCGTTTTACTACCTTAAATAACAAGACAATGAAGCCCTAATTTGCACAAGAAAGCAAAACCCTGAAGGATTCTAGTCGAAGTACTAAATTGACGTCATAGGTGCAAATGGCCTACTAGGACCCTAGGAGCAGAACCTACTTTTACCTTCTTCTCGCCTGGAAGACAAACTGCCACCTGTTTTTAGAAAACATATGATGTGAAAAATTGAGTAAAACGAAATCACTTCGAAACTAAAATAAAAACAAAGGACTGAGAGTAACCTGCGACCAGCCGACCCACCATCTGAACGCCTGGAACGGACTACCAGGCGTTCATCTTCTTTTTTTCTGCTTTTTTCCTCCTGGAAAGCGAACACGTACGCGAATTTTTCCTCTTCCAATCACCTTTCGAAGAGCAAGGGAAGCAATGACCGCCTTATCGCAGGTTAGTCTATAAGAGAGGGAATGCAAATAGAATACAGTGACCTAAGCAAAAGGCCAGCTAAATATATTAAGACTTGTAAGACTTGACAGTTTGTCGCAATTAATTAACCGTGAGAAAAGAAAGGGATTGTAACTGATTTAGTCACAGTTTTATGACAATCAAATGTCTTTCAAGTATTATAATTAAAAGTCGCAAACAACAGAAACCCCAATCAGCCTAATTGCAATCCGTTTTAATTTTCAAATTTCTCCATACGCGATATGCAGAAGGCGCCGTTCTGTTCAGGCGAGTAAACTTTTCATGGCTAATATTTACGCTGTTTACTGCGCAGCAAAACTAGTGCTGTTCAGAAATGGTTTGGTTATATGTGATATTTTCAAAGAAATTGTTTTATACTTGACGTGAAGATACTTAAAGAAGTAAGGTTCTCAGAAAATTTATTAATTCTGAAATTCAATTTGTTTGGAGTAACGGAGGCCAGAAACATTCACTAAGTATTGATGTCAGGTGCCCAGTATCCGGCCAGTTTTTTCCTTGCTGTAAAGAATCGATGAATTAGCTGCGTACATTATCCGGATAAGATTTATTTCATATCTATAACTATAATTAAAGCTTAGGATATATGATATAATCGGAAAATGTAATTCTACTCAACTCCTTATGAAAATCTTTTTCACTCATTCAGAGGCGACTTGATTTCGTGTGCACGGCTTGCTTCGCGTGACTGCATTTTCTAGTTCTATATAACCGGAAGCGTCGGAGTTGAATCGGGAATTCTCATACTTTCCCCAGTTGTGACTGCTAGAATGGGGTTGCAATGGTCTGAAAAATGTCTCTAAGGGATTGAGAGATGTGAAAGAAGGAGGAGTAAAACGAAATCACTTCGAAGCTAAAATAAAAACCATGAAGGTCTGAGAGTAACCTGCGACCAGCCGTCCCCACCATCAGAACGCCTGGAACGGACTACTAACCGTTCATGTTCTTTTTTTTTTTACTTCCGGGAAAGCGACAACGTCCGCGAATTTTTCCTTTTCCACTCGCCTTTGAAAGGACAAGAAAGGAATGACCGCCTAATTGCAGGTTAGTCTTAGAGAGGGAATGGACATAAATACAGTGA